GACAGAAATCCTCAGAGGATGGTGCATTAAGTGACCTATGTGCTTTCTGGTCAAAGCCTATTTGGCTCTTCTGAGAAAAGCCTCTTTCAGGTGATTTTTCTCTTGGAAAGAGAGCAGCAAAGTCTAAGGAATGGAAAGTTTCTGAATTCTCCAAAGTGAGGACCATGTTTGGGTTTGTTTCTGGTTTAGAGCCCCTGCTGAGTTCCCTCCTGCGGCGCATGCCTGAAATGGACACTCTGGAGATCATGAAGTTGGTGAACTGCCCGAGACCTTCACCCCAGACATGAGGTGCATCCTGGGCGAGTCTCCTTTGGTGCAGGGCTACTTTGTCCTGGCAGGAATGAACTCTGCTGGCATCTCCTTTGGTGGAGGGGCTGGGAGGTAAGTGTTCCTGCTGACACTCTGCTGGTGGGGCTGCTTCCTTCCTAGAGTTACTTGTTCCTGATGTTGTGTGTAATGTCCAGGCGTAACCTGGTATGTTAATGAGGAGGTACACCTAATTTGAGAGTTGTCCATTTCAAAGTAGTCACTGTGGGTGTTCCAGAAATGTCATTGTGCAAAGTGTTTGGGAATTCCTCTTTTGAAATTGGTCTCAGAGACTATGGGATATACTTTTGTACTCAATATTGGTCATTTAGTCATCTGGTTATTTAAGATGTAAGATTTGGAAGACAAATTGATGAGATTGTTATAGACACATTATTCTATCTACTGATTCATGCATGTAGTTTCTCAAAAAAAATAGCTGAGTAAATAAAGTCCAGTGACTGAATTTGTTAGATCCATATAGTGAAAGATCACTGGTGCTTCTCTCCCTTTTCTTCCCTCCCTGCTGTGTGAACAAGAATATGGAGAGTCTGTTTTGCACCCCACTGTGGGCTCTTATATAAGGGGTGATATGTGCAGTCCAGCTTCTTACTATGAAATCAGCTGTCAGGCAGGAGGGGTGGTCAGATACAGCGACAGCGATAGCCTCAGGATGATCGTCACAGGCTCTGTCTGGTCTGCTACACCTGCGTGGAGGTTACTTAATGCCCCTATATTCCCTTGGTTTCCACATGGTTTTCTTAGTCTTTAACAGGATAAATGGATTTATGGAAAGTGTTTACCCCTTGTGATGGCAAATACAGGTAATTGAGGTACTAGAGATGAGGAACATTTCACCGGGCAGCCCCAGTGGCACAGTAGTTTAGTGCCACCTGCAGCTCAGGGTGTGATCCTGGAGACCTGGGATCGAGTCCCACGTTGGGCTCCCTGCATGGAGCCTGCTTTTCCCTCTGCCTGTGTCTCTACCTCTTTCTCTCTCGGTGTCTCTCATGAATAAATAAATAAAATATTAAAAAAAAAAAAGATTTCACATGTGGATACAGCCAGAGTAATTAAAATGTCTATTTATTCATTTACAAACTTAGTGACATGGAAATCTGAATTGGAATCTGGCTTGATAGAAACACAGTGTACAATGTTAATACGGCATTCGTGGAGGCAGAAATGCTCAGTCACCCCAGATACCTAAAGTCACCAGAGCTCTTAAGAAAAATCCCATCCCCTAAAGCGCCTCAGATTATCTTCAGCACCACAAGCTGACACTACATGTGTAGAGAGGGGCTGAGCGGACCGCACATTTACAAACATAAAGGAGTTACAGCCCTGTACAATAATTATAATGGCATTTCTTAAAGTGGTAACTGTGCTGCTAGAAACCCCTTGAATGGAAGAAGCCTCAGAAACTTTCTACCCCACACCTGTTGGTCTAGGGAACGGAGGTTATGGTGCAGTGGATGGGAGCCCTCAGATTGGAGTTTCTTTTCGACCTTCCTGTCTACACCCCACCATGGGACATTCTGGGGTAAGGCACGAGAACCGGGCTAGGAGAGAGGTGCTCCGATCTCCAGTTCTTGGTGTACACAGGAAATCTGGCACAGATCTTTTGAAACGGATATTAAAAATACCCTCCCTACCCTCTTCTAATTTCTGTCCTTGAGAGACAGGACACCAAGAAGGCAGAAAAGGGTTGTGAAGGGCAAAATAGGTACATCTAAATGAGAAAGCAAGCCCACGAAGAAATGCGTTCTCTAAGGGACGTAGATTCTTTACTCAGAGAAGTCAAGAATATTATACAATGAATAACTGATGTTTAGTGGACAAAGAGAAGGCAAACACATAGAAAAATATTTCATTCTCTTGAAAAATAGTGCATTTGTAGTGATGAGGGACTGCAAATGCAAGCCCCATACAGGTGACAGGGAGCCTCACAACTCAGCACCTTAAAGTGAATGAGGCTGAGGTGGGGGTTGCTGGAGAGGCGCTGCCGGCAGGCCCAGAGCCCGCTCCCAGCCCCAGCAGCGCATGGCTAGTGCGTAACACTCCTGTGTCCTCCACCTTCACGTGTCCTCCACGGTTCCCACCCCTCTGCTGTGTGCTCCCGAGTCCTTGTGCCTGCAGAGGACAGTTCTTGACTCCTGAAAATCTTCCCTTTATCATGCTGATCAAAGCTGCTTAAATCAAGTTGGGGAGGGAGGCAGGTGCAGAGGGGGTGCACAAAAAGAAATGAAAACAGTAGAAAGTTCTTCAGTATTAAGCACTAGTGACCAAGCCTCCACCTTGGATGTAAGGAGATCCTTACTAGTTATACTGGCCAAGCAGCTACAAAGAAAATTCAACCTGCTAGCACACCCTGAAAGTGTGCCAGTGCAGTTCTACCAGGACACAGCCTTCCAGGGGCAGAACCAAGACTACAGGTTATGCAAGATTCCCTTTTATCTCCCTTAGGTTCTCAGAGGAGGGGGAAGACTCACTCAGATGCCAGCATGTGTGTCAGGCAGAGGATGAACAGAGCAGGGTGGTAGGTGAGCTCTTCAGTGAAGCAAAACCACCTTCCAAAAGCTGCTGTCATTCCTGCTACATCCGTGCTGGTGGTAGGGTAATGTCTCAGGTACACTCAGAGGCAAGGTAATGGAACTGCTGGTCTGTACAAGAAGGTAAAATCCCGGAACAGGACTTCTGGTGAGAAGCCAAGTGACCAGGCTCCCCTCCTGCAGAAATGGGACAACTGAGATTAATCCCCGAGCTTCATGGTCTCTGGGTCCCTGGCTTGAATGGCAGCTCTTGTATTAGGGGGTACAGCCCCCACCACGGCAGAGCACTAGAAATGTAGTGGGAATTGTTTGGTTCTCTTTACTGTCGCAGGTCCTGCCTACGCTTTGTGTTTCTAGGTTCAAAAGGAAAAGAGCAGAACCCTTGCCTGAAGAGAGCACAAGAGGGGACCATGGATCATTTCAGAGAGAAAAAGGACCAGCAACCTGAAACCAGAGTCCTGCTGACAATTCTCAGGAATCCAAATCCCACAAATCTCTAGGAAGAGATGAGCGGTCACACAAGGTAAATGTGTGTGTCACACAAGGCCCAGCACACGTGGCCCTGCTGCCCCAGGAATGACAATGTTCTGACCGTCAGCTCTGCTGGAGACAGGAGAGTCACCCTCTTCAGTGTTAGGACCAAAGAGAGAAACTACCAGATTCATATTGTCAATACCTGAATTAACCGAAAGAGATTTCAAGAGTGAGTTTTAAGGAGCTAAAAGCAAAGTGTGTATGTCAGGGCACTAAAGTGATGCCTCAGAAAATTAACATCTCGCCAGAGTCTTAAAAGTGTGACCCCTATTTATGGACAAGATGTAACTTACACATAAGTCTAGAATGGTCTTTTAGATTCAACCCCAAATATTTACGAGGAGGAGTGTGGTGCGGAGCATGGGATACCTTCAGTGCCTCATTGCCTGTTTCCATCTTCCTTGGTCAGTGAGGCCCCGGTGCCTGGTTCCTGCTCATCACAACGGCTGCCCTCTGCTCTCCAGCGGGGCCGCACCTCTCCCCTTCGCTACTCCCTACCTCAAGGAGCATCGCTCAGCAAACAGACCTCTACCTACCTACTCCCTTAATAAATCAACTAAAGCCTTTCTTTAAAAAGCGGACACGGCTGTCAATGATCAAGTAGGGATTGTCTGGCTGGGGAGTGTAGAAGGAATCTCTCTGATGAAGTGGGTAAACTGATCCCAAGAAATGCCACAGACAGACACACCTGAGAACTGTAAGCTGCTCAAAAAACAAAAGGCCCTTGTTTAGGATACTTAAAGATCTCTCAGAGCTAATGCTTCTAAGGTACCAAGACAACAGTTTAAAATCAGTAACAGCAAAGGCTGGGTAGTGGTCTGTGATGGTCTCTCACCCCTTAGGAAACAGACCCCGTCTAAAAGTGTGGAGGGCCTTCTCGTACCCCTACCCCCACCCCCACACTTTTCCCATTGGAGACCCAGACTGTGGGCTAGCTGGCCACCCCATTCACAATATATACCCTCCACACTCAGAATCCTCTGCACAAAAAAAAAAAAAAAAAAAAAAAATCCTCTGCACACTCAGGTGGGCCACCTCTGTGTGGACATGTCTGTTCTGGGCCAGAGGAAACAAAACTCGGGAGGCCAGCAGCTCTCCTGAACTCAGCACAGCCAGCAAGGTTTGGTTCCTCCCCAGTACAGTACTAGTTGCTGAGCGAGCCAGCTGGCTACAATGGGCCAGGCGAGGGAGGACAGACCAAGTCGCATGTGCTTGGGGAAGAGGGGGGGGTCAGGCTGGGGCGACAGCATAGAGCAGCAGCAGCAGCATTCTAGCAGCAGAAAACCACCTCAGGGCCATCTTCTGAGATCAGACCCATTCAGCTGGGAAAAGCAACACAAAAGGCAACATGGTTTTCCCTTTTAAACACTGGCTTCTTTACAGAGGCCTCCAACCCTCTGAGAAATGAGTGAGACATGAAAATTTTAGGCAGGGGGCCCTGGCCTGACAGTCTAGTAACTGGGTCGGTAGGGAGGCCAGGAGGGAGCCAGATTAACCATTGACTACAGACCAGGTAACGTCCATGTGGCGCCTCTCGTGAGTGAGGTAGATGGTCATCCTCTTGCCAGAGGTATCAGGGTGCCAACCCACGGCACGATGGAAGAGAATGATCTGCCCGGCTCAACGGCACAGGCTTTTGCCCAGGGCCGACTGAAACCCACAGCAACCCTCCAAAACAAACAGGTTACTCCGAGGCAAGGTGGCCTCACGGAGCTGGACTCTTGCCCTGAGGCCTGCACACCACCAGCCTCCCTGGCTTCGAAACACAGCAGGAGAAATCAGACTGCCATGGTTACCTATTTCCAAAGTGGAGTTTGCGCCTGTCCTGCCTGTCAGGCTTCGTGTCACCATGGGGCTGGGGGGAGGGGGGGAGAGCCCAGAGTGGCATCAGATGGAGACTGCAGAAGGGATAAGGGAAGGGGGAAGGAGGAGAGAGGTTGCAAAGCAAAAGATTTAAAAGCTGGTAGGTTAAAGATCCCATCAAGGAGCTGAGAGCGGGACCAGGAGGAGGAGGGGCCCTGCAGTAGGGGGCAGGCGGGCAAGCAAGACTGGCGGCCATTACTTCCCGTGCAAGTCACTCAGCTCCACGTCATCCTTTCGGCGCTTGTGGGTGAAGAGTGAGGTGACTGGGTAGAGCTTGGCCTTGGCCTGAAACCGGTGTCCTGCGATGTCAATCTCATATTCTCCCCGGTTGATGAAATCTGCTGTCACCACCTGTTCTTCTCCAGTGTCCTCGGAAAAGTTGTGCACAAAGCCCAGGCAGACGTGGCGCTCCAGGGTGTAGCTGTAGGCGCTGCTGGTAGTCTTGCCCGCGTACTGCCCGTTGCGGTAAATGGGCTCTCCCCACCAGGGCCAGAGGTCCAGGTCTGTGTCGTGATCGTCCAGGATGAACATGGTGAGGCGTTTGTACACTCCGTTCTGCTTCTGCTGCAGCAGGGCATCTCGGCCCATGAAATCCATCCCCTAGGAGAGAAGGGCAAGGCTGAGACGGGATGGACAAGCCGCGTGGCCTGAGAGCAGCCAGGGGCAGGGGCCCCCGGTGTTACAGCGCCAAGCCCCGCTCCCAGGCTTCCCACGTGAAGAACTGCGTTCGCCATGTAAAAGATCTCCTCAGAGGACTTCTGTAACACAGGCACACATTTTATAAACCGATTTCAACCACAAGACCACATAGGAAAAAAAAGAAGAAAAATCAAAAATACTTGTCAGATCTTAGAAAAATGTTTATATATACGCACACACACACACATATAATCTAAACAAAAAGCCCATGCATAGGTATCAATGTCACTATATATGTTTGCATGTACAGGAAACCTGAGCAGGACAGAAACTGAGTGATCATGATCAAATGGTGATTTTTAATTTTCTTGATACTTTTCCCTATCTTCCAAAATTAGTGTAGATTACTTTTTTTTTTTATCAGAAAAAGACTGTAGATCTACTGTACGATAGGCAAGGATTGCTAAGATATTAAGTTTAAAAAAACAAGGTGTGATGAAGCAAGCATGTGGAATCCTCCAGCTAGGCGGAGGGGAGTGCATGCTGTGTGTTTGCACTGCCCGGAGCACTCAAAGAGACACGCTACGCTGGTGCTTCTGCGGAAGCTCGCAGTGCAGTTCAGTGGGGTTCAGAGGTGGGAAAGAGACCTGCCATTCCTATCCTCTTGACCTATGACTTTTTTAATGGTGTATTTACTTTAAAAAGAAACAAAATATGAGGCAAGTGAATATAAGATGAGTAATTTGTACAAATACCCGTGCATGTTAATGGAAAAACTTCCCTGAAAGCACTCAGTCTAAAGGAGAGCCAAGTGGGGCTCCTGGATGGCTCAGACAGGGAAGCACGCGACACTCGGTCTCGGGGTTGTACGAGGGAGGTGTGGGAAGCGCCAAGTGTTCACAGCCAGTTTTCATATCAGGACGGACATGTTTTTTATTCTAAGGGCATCCTCACTGGCCTCGTCCACCCAAGGCCATCCCTGGGCCTTCCACGTTTCCTGTGGAGGATTCTGCTCCTGTGGTGGCGGTGGGGTACGCAGTGGGCTGTGCAGATACAGTACCTTCTCCAGTTTTACCCGAGACTCTCGTCCACATTCCAGGGGGGTGGTGAGGGTATTTAGATCCTGACCCCAGAAGGCAAAAAACTTCTCAATTCGAAGACTACGAAGAGCATAGTACCCAGCATTCCGGATTCCGTATTTCTGCCCAACACTCATCACTTCGTTGTACACATGCAGGGCATACTAGAGGGGGGAGACGAGACGTCAGTAACCTGCACACCTTTAGAATTCAACATGGGGGTGTCTGGCAGTGCTGATAGCAGATAACATTGACCTTGACAAGGGAGAAGGTCGTATGAAATTCTCAGGATGTCTCATCCTTGACAAACTAAAGCACTACTGCTGAGGAGTAATGAGCCAGGGTTACCCCTAACCCCGACATAAGCTCCATGAAAGCAGTACCCGTATCTTCCCCTTCTCTCTAGTGCCTAGGACAGGAAACAATCCTCAAGTAACACTCCCAGGTGTACTCTTACCATCCAGTCAGTGGCCAGGCCCCTAATTGCCTCTCAAACAGCCTGCTCATCTGCCCCTGGCTTTGTTCCCCCCCCCCCACCATGACCCCTTAGGCACTGCCATGCTGTGGAATGTGTCACACGGAACTCTATGTACAATGTCTGACTTTTCACAGGTGACAGCACATCTGAGAGACCCAGATCGAGTCACAGAGGAGCCAGGAAGGCAGTGTCCCCCCACCTGTGTCCCACAACAGCCAGCCTCATGGCATTCTTTTCTTGGTTCCAGAAGCTGTAAGTATCAGATACCTTAAATAAACAAAGTTTGCCAAACAGAAAGCCAATGTTCAATCCCTGCCTAAACATACTCTGTGGAATCTAAAGCCCAGAACAGACTACATTATTTGCTTTAAAAACTGTAAAACAGAAAAAACGACAAGCAGAGAAATGCTGTACAATCACATTTACGTGTAGAATCTAAAACAAAAATGCAAACCCACAGATCAGAGTTGTGGTTCACAGAGGTGGGGAGTGCAAGGTGGGGGTGGGGGGAAGTGGAGGAAGAGAGGGCAGAAGACAGGACTTACAGGTAGGAGACAAATGGAACCAGGAAGGGAGCAGACACCCTGAGAACTGCATGCCCCTGCTATGTGACCAAGGCTGAAGTTGTTAAGGGAGTGAATCCTAAGTGTTTTCACCTGGAAAACACCTTTTGTGTTTTTTATCATATTTATGAGAGATGAAGGACACTCATGAAACTCAGCACAGTAGTTCTTTCACAGGGCACCTCAGGCCGCCATGCTGTGCACCTCAAATCTGTCCAGCGGTGTGTTCCCATGACAGCTCAATAAAAGTGGAAGATGCAGAACCCCAGCTTTCATTGGTGTTGCAGTTCTTTCCCCTGGTGGGGTCCGCTGCCCTGCCGGTGGCATTCCTACAACTGAGTAGGCGCCTATCGAATGGGCCACGGCAGTCAGGATGCTGTGAACTTTGGCAAGAGCCTTCATGCTATGGAATCCACACCACACTGAATCCACACGCAAGCGGCTACGGCGTTTGAATGGGGCAGGGGGCGGGGCTGATAAGGAAATGAGAATAAGCCGGCTTCCCTGGTACATTTGCCCTTTGCTGCCTCAAGCTGAGTACTTAAGAGGAAGGCCAGAGAAGAAAGATTTAAAGTAGGTCCCCAGCACATACTCATTTTCTAAGTGCTGGGGATTTAGTGTGAACAAAACAATCTGCCACTTGCTGCCAAGTTCTGGAAGACATTCCCTCAAAGAGACATATGTATAGTTGACAAGTATAGTTAACATGGGTTTCAACTGCGTGGATCTCACGTGCCCATGGATTTTTCAATACGGTACCAGACTGTAAATGTATTTTCCTTAGAATTTTATTAACATTTTCTTTTCTCTAGCCTTCTGGATTGTAAGACTACAGTACACAGTATACATAGCACACAAAGTATGTATTCATCAACTTTAGGGCTTCCAGTTAACAGTGGGCTATTAGTGCAGGTCTGTGAGGAGTCTGAAGTTTTACACAGAGCTTTAGACTGAGTAGGGGGAAGGTGCTTCTGACCCCCCCAACATGACTCAAGGGTCAACCATATAACCTTACTGAGAATGAAAGTCAGCTTGAAAAGAACCCACGCAGGACACAAATCACTTCCTGGCCTCATGGAAAAATCATAAAAATGGGACCAACCCAGGAAAATCAGAAGTAGAAACCAAGGCCTCAAGTAATAAAGCTGTTAGAACCACAGAGCCTTCCCTGCCTGACTGGGTTTTTCCAATTAATGACAGGCACTCAAGTGGCAAACCCGACTGACCCTGTGGCACTTCAGAATCAATCCCTACCTATATAGGCAGAAGTCAACTACCTCTGTATGAGCGCTTCCAAAATAGTGAATAATCCCTTCATCTTAATCTTCTTATATTTGTCTGGACAAGCACATAACATTTCATGGGCTGGTAAATCCATGCTTCAGCTAATAACTAAAAAAAAGCCTACCGCTGTAAGTAATGTGACTAACATCAAGAACAAGACAAAGATGCCTAGGATCCCTACTCCTTGTCACAGCTGGACAAGAGAAATTGTAGGAACAAAAGTTGTTAAGAATTCCTATTACTGTTGGTATATGGTAAGACTGGACCCTGAAAATTCCAGGGACTCAAATGAAAAATAACTATAAGATAACTTAGTAAGGAAATAACACAATAGAAAAAATAGCTTTCAAAAATCATAATCACTTAGGGGCGCCTGGGTGGCTCAGTCAGTTAAGTGTCTGCCTTCAGCCCAGGTCATGGTCTCAGGGTTTTGGGATCAAGTCCCCCATCAGGCTCTGTGCTCAGTGGGGAGTCTGCTTCTCCCTCTACCTTTGCCCCTCCCCACCACTTGTGCTAACAATCTTTTTAAAAAAATCATAATCACTTAGAAGATAACGGAACAATGCTACCCTTTCTCTCTCTCTCTTTTTTTTTTTACTTATGATAGTCACAGAGAGAGAGAGAGAGAGAGGCAGAGACACAGGCAGAGGGAGAAGCAGGCTCCATACACCGGGAGCCCGACGTGGGATTCGATCCCGGGTCTCCAGGATCGCGCCCCAGGCCAAAGACAGGCGCCAAACCGCTGCGCCACCCAGGGATCCCAATGCTACCCTTTCTCATTCACACCACCACCACCACCACCACCACCACCACCGAAAGATTTTTATGCCTGTATCAAGAAAACTTCAAAAACCCCTGAAAGTCACACAAAAAACTTGAATAAAAACTAAAAGGCATTCTTTGTAAGATTCAACATGTCAGTTCTTCCTAATGTATAAATGGAACATAATCCAAAAAAAAAGCCCCCCAAAATGGTGTTTTTTACTAGATAATTATAAAGTTTCCAAGGGGGAAATAAGGAACACGAAGGTTTTTTTCCCCAGATTTTCCAAGCACTGGAGGATAAGCACTACCAAATATTAAGATATCTAATAAAGACTCAATAATTCAAACAGTGTGATCCTGATCATGGAAAGACCAAGGGAACAGAATAAAAAATCTAGAAATAAGCCCAAATACATACAGGAATTTAGTATCTGGTAAGGGTAGAATGTCATATCAGTTGGTTATTCACATGGAAAAAAAAGTTTGATTGGTATCTCATGAAGTACAGCAAGAGACAATGCAAAATGATGGAGCACTGAAATATTTTTTAAAAACCACAACCCTATACAACAGAACAATACAACTATAAAAGCACTAGAAGAAAACTGGAAAACTTTTACAGTCCTGGAGTGCAGAAGTCCCTTCTATGTATCAACCTCTAGAAGGCACAAAAGATGAACTCATTTACATAAAAATAAAAAAATTTATGTAACGTGCAACATTTCTCGTAATTTTTTTCTCATAATTTTTTTTTTAAAAAAACTTACTTGGCAAAAAACAAATGGAAAGAAAAATGACAAACTGAGGAGCACCTGGGTGCTCAGTTGGTTAAGACTCTGACTCTTGGTTTCAGCTCAGGTCACAATCTCAGAGTGGTGAGATCGAGTCCCACATTGGGCTCAGTGCGGAGTCTGCCTGTGACCCTCTCCTTCCCTACTCCTCCCCCTACTCATGCAGACTCTTGAAAAAAAAATCTTTAAAAAAAAATGACAAATGACAAACTGGGAAAAAAAATTACAACTCAGCAGCAAGGATTGATTTAGTGCCTAGAAACTGGTAAAAAGACAATCATTCAATAGAAAAATGTACAAAGGGTATGACCAGAACATTTATTAAGCATTTACTAAGTGCCAAATAACTTCTCTAGGTGCTGGGTATATAAAAGTTAAAACAGACAACCCTGCCTTGAGAGAACTTACCTTTAAACAAGGGTAATCTGATGAACTAAATAAAGAAAATACATTTTATCAGACAATGGTAAGCACTATAGAGCAAAACAAAACAGGGAAAGCAGAGAGGGAGAACCAGGGGGTAGAGGGGTAGCTGCGCCCATTAAGGCCTCATCCAGAAGATGCCATGTGAACAAGATCTGAAGCAGGTGTGGCTGTGAGGACCTCTATGTGGGAGAAGGACACGCCAAGGAGGGGGAACAGCAAGTGCAAAGCTCGAGATAGGGTGAGGTCCGAAGAACACCATGGAGGATGGGCAGGCAGGAGTACGTGGGTCCTACAGATAAGCTTTTACTTGGAAATGGATTCTGAAAAGTTGCTTCACACATGAAAACAATTAAAAGCTCAATGACGTTCTGTACCTATCAGCCAAAATGTGAAAAAGCTGTCTTGGTGTGTGCACACACACGCCACGCGGAGACACTCGTACGCAGAACCTCAAACAGCAAAGGACAGCAGAGGGCTACAACCATTAATGTCTATTGGTATCAGACTAATAAAATACATTATGATTCGATGATTTGATGGAATACTAACCACTGTTAAAACAGAAAGAGGAAGCTCTTCTCTTTAGGTACTGACCAGGAAGAATCTCTACGAGAAATCGTTAAGAGATCAAGATGAACAGCAGCAGGACGCTTTCATCTGTGTTTCTGAAAAGGGCCTTGTGAATGTCTCTGAATTTGCTTGCATATGCACAGAAACTGCTGACATGACGTACAAAAACCAATACTTGCTTCATTAGTGGTGGGTGGTGGGAACTGGTCGGATGGCACTAAATCCTTCCTACAAGTTTTTATGTTTAAACCATGTAAATGTATTTCTTCTTCAAAAACAGTATGTAACTTAGTTCAGAATGTTCAAGTCCCTCTATTGCAGCCTTTCTCAGTACCCAAGGCCTGGTCAGACAGGGCTCTCTAGCCCCGCCAGTGCCCAGCAAGCCACCTTCCTCTGTGAGGCTCACCTCAATGGGGATATAAAGCATGAATCCCGGCTCTCCTGTGTGAGTCATGCTCATCACCCGGATCCCATTCGCGTAGCCCACACTCATCTCCTGTGGAAGCAAAGGGAGAAGGGCAGCACAGAGGCTCTTCAGAGAAGTGAGGGCGCCATGTCTGCTAAAGTGATGAACACCTGAGGTGAACCCCTCCTGAGCTCTGCACCCTCTGTCTGACCCTAAAGGGGATACACATGAATGAAAGAAATTCATCCTCAAAGTGGTCTGTTTCCAAGTACTGGGGTCACCAGGAAAGGAGTACAATCTCTACAGTCTCTCTTCTCCAGAATGCTACCAAGCTGCTGGTGGGAAGTTGAACCAGTCTTTATAAGCATGAAACCTTTCTTTTTGCAAAGTCCTACTAAAGATTTGTTTTCATCGGCATCAGGAGCACCAAGGACCAGGTAAATGTCTTCCTGGGGCGCGGGGGGAGGGGGGGCGGGGGCGGGCAGTGGGGGGTTGGTTGTGCTCTGGTGGTCAAGTCCTGGGCACCTGCCCTACAAAACAGGATGCCTGATGACCACAGAACATGATGCACCTGCTACTCTGGGGTCAGAGACCGGGCTTCTCACACTCAAAACGTATTCATAGCAGCTCAGTTACCTCATGGGCCTCTGACACAATCACTGTTCCTCTCATGGAAAGTGGTAGGTCCCAGATGCCACTAAAGCAAACTATTCCCATGAGGAGCCCAACATGACATGCTCCTCTGTAGGCTCATACATGCAGATCACTCGCTCAGGAAGCAAACGGTACAGGGACCCTCTCCGGCTGATGGCTAATGCAAGAGTTTTCTGTTGCTCTCACTCCACCATGGAGAAAAAGGAAAACTATACTGCCAGTAGGTGGATCCAGCTTGGGTTTGAACTTCAGAGAGCGTCCATCAGTAACTGGCAGCTGTTTGTTACAGGTTACCAAACCCACTAGTCTGTTTGGGACTCTCATCAGGATTTAGTTCAGGTTTCTTTACACAATTACAAATTGCTACTGTTGCCAAATTTAAGAAACATAAACTGTTTAGAGATTTGCCTAAACTGCTTCTCACATGGAGATGCCACATACACAGAAGTTACTCTCTGAAGGGAAAGGGGGAAGCGTTGCCAGGAGAGGGACCTGACCTAACTACCATTTTTTGGCATCAGCATCATAATCCTTTAAAACTTAAAATATTTAATCCACTGCTACACAAACACAAAACACTAAATAAACAGGACTGATATTCTGAGAAGTTAAATCCACTTCAAAGATATCCTAATGCTTACTGAATAAGGAGAACTGGAAGGGTAAAAAATTTTAAAAAATGAATTTAGTCATTTGTTTACTTAATAAAAGCCAGAATACCCTTTGTGGGCATTAATGCTACAATAAGAACATGTAATTGCCATCCCCATAAAAGAAATATTCCCTGCCCATTTAAAACTAAAACTTTGGGACACCTGGAGTGTCTGCCTTCGGCTCAGGGCGTGATCCCGGGGTCTATGAATTGAGTCCCACATCGGGCTCCCTGAGAGGAGCCTGCTTCTCCCTCTTCCTGTGTCTCTCATGAATAAAATCTTAAAAAAAAAAAAAAAGCTAAAACTTTATTAGCACTTACCTTGCAAAACAGACTTGGGAAGTGGTCTGGAGTCATAGGAGCATAGGACAGCTCAGACAACACATCCACAGCCCGAGGACCAATCAGATTGAGGGCTAAACGAAAAGAACAAGAGATGCTCATCCAGGTAACAGCTGAGCCAAAGAGAAAAGTCTGTTTTGGACACCCCGGCCTGGGTGTTGAAACCATAAAACCAACCTTTTGGTTAGGTGATCCAAGGGTGGACACAGAGCACCCCAATTTTGGGGACCACACCTCTAAATGCAGCTGCTGAATGCTGGCAAGAGAGAGCGTGCTTCCTCTTCCCGGGTACACAGGGAGACAACATCCCATAGCCTCAAATGCAGTTAGATTGGGTTGTGATCTGTTCCGGCCAACAGGCTAGGAGCCCGCTTTCAGTTCGCACTGTGTCTCCTCCCCAGCATTGCTACGTGACAGGCACAGCCCAATCCCAAATCTGCACTTGGAGGAGAGCCCTGAGGAGAGCTGCCCAACCACTTTGGATCCCATCACATGACAGCAGGTTGTGGTAATTACACAGCAACCTCAGAGGCTGGAAAACAACTGTGGTTCTATAGTTTCCCAATCAGGTAGCAAGAAGTTAAATGGAGTTGCTGCTATGATGAACTGGCGGTGAGGGCCTGCTGGGACAAGGGGCAGGAATTTGTTAAGTGGGGGGTGGGCAGATCTTAAACCTGGAATGAGGAGATTGAAGGGGAAATAGAAGTCCCAACAGGACTGCTGAGGAGGAGATCATCAGGAAATTAAGTCATCCTCAAAACTTATTCACTCACTTAAAAAAAATAAGGAGAAATTCTGAAGAAAATACTACTTAAGTAATAAATTTAAAAATGCTTTTGGGGGCTTCTGGGTGGCACAGTCATTTGGGCATCCGACTAACTATTGATTTCTTCTCAGGTCATGGTCTCAGGGTTGTGAGATCAAGCCCTGAGTTGGGCTTAGCACTCAGCATGGAGTCTGCTGACAAGTCTTTTTTTTTTAAAAGACTCATTTATGGGATCCCTGGGTGGCGCAGCGGTTTGGCGCCTGTCTTTGGCCCAGGGCGCGATCCTGGAGACCCGGGATCGAATCCCACATCAGGCTCCCGGTGCATGGAGCCTGCTTCTCCCTCTGCCTATGTCTCTGCCTCTCTCTCTCTCTCTCTGTGACTATCATAAATAAAATAAATAAATAAATAAATAAATAAATAAATAAATAAATAAATAAATAAATAAATAAAATAAAAAAAAAGACTCATTTATTTTAGAGAGAGCGCATGCATATAGGAGGGAAGATAGGGAGAGGAAGAGAGAGAATCTCAAGCAGACTCCAGGCTGAGCACAGAGCCTGACAGAGGGCTTGATCTCATGATCCCTGAGATCATGACGTGAGACAAAATCAACAGTGGGAGCCCAACGGACTATGCCACCCAAGCACCCCATCAAATAGGTAAGTAAATATAAAAAGAAAAAAATACCATTCAAATGACTGACCCATTCAATATCTGACCAATACTTGTGCTCCTCCACACTGGCTATAGGGGATAGAGCAGTGCACAAAACAAACCGAAAGTGAAGCACAACTCACTCCACACCTCACTGACAGAATGTGGGTATTAGAGATCGACATACGACCAGAGAGGCTCTTATATGCCTCTCACTCTGACCCCCACCTCTGAACATCAAACAGAAAGAAGACAAACGGAGAAGATATGTGGACGGACTGGTAGTTTCCCATGCAGCTGATGGCCTGGGCCCAGCTCACCAGTGTATTTCCAGGTGACGTCCTCCAGGAGCAGGTTGCTATCTTCTGGCATATGTTTCTTAAGCCAGGCCCAACAGTGGACCTGCTGGTCGGTTGGGGAAATCATGAAGAAGCTGAAAGGGAGGCAGAGAGTAATGAGAGCCAGGCAGCAGGCAATGGGTCAGGAAGCAGGCAAGTTAATTCATTTCAAAGCGACCAGTGAGCACAAGACTGGCAAATGGTCTGAGCTTTCAGAGAGGGCCAGTAGCACCTAATTCCTGGATCTACCACCCAAGGACCAAACAGAAGATTCTGGCTTCCTGTTAATGCCAAGATAGCTACTACCATAAGTGAACACATCTGCCCTCTAGGGTGACTGATCTGTCCACATCGAGTTCTACAGAATCTGGGGTGTTCTCTCTCCTTCCCTTGTGATTTGTGTTTGTACTGCACTGCCAACAGACGAGGCAGGAGCTGCTGAAACCTCTTTTTCCTCAGTATATACTCCCTCCCGGGTAAGTGAGCTGGGGGCTCTGCTCTACTGCATCTCGTCCTCAGAGGGTGGGTGGGGGGGGCAGGGGGGCCTCACCTGCGCTTGCTCAGGCGCGCTATACTGCAGTCATTCTCGTAGCCCCCGCCCTCGTTGAGCATGCCGGTGTGCACAATGTGGCCCACGGGCACATCCAGGTCATTGGAGAAGAGGTACTGTAGAACTTCCAGTGCCTGGTCCCCGGTGGACTGTAGGGTGAGGGAGCAAAGCAGAGCACATGAGCACAAGCACATGTGGCCAGGTGACACAGTCCACCATGCAGAGTGACTTGCTGAGGAAACTCCTCTGGTCCCTGTGAGCAAGGTCTATGGATTTACTCCACTCAAGAAGCTCCAGAGAAAGCTACCTCTGGAGTCGAAGGAAAAGTGGGCCTCTGCAAGCAGACTAAAAGAGCTAAAAATTCAGAAAACCGGTATAATATAGATAAAAAATGAAAATATACCAGAGTTCTTTTTTTTTTAATTTTTTTTTTTTTTTATGACAGTCACACAGGGAGAGAGAGAGAGGCAGAGACACAGGCAGAGGGAGAAGCAGGCTCCATGCACCGGGAGCCCGACGTGGGATTCGATCCCAGGTCTCCAGGATCGCGCCCTGGGCCAAAGGCAGGCGCCAAACCGCTGCGCCACCCAGGGATCCCTATACCAGAGTTCTTATAGAAGCTGTTTTAAAGTGACAGCAAAGAAGGTGCATTCATGTATATGCACAGGGTCCTCCTCTATTCTTTTGTTCCCAAGCACTTACTGTTATTTCAAACTTTGTGAAAGAAGACATGTCGATGACACACACGGCCTCCTTACAGCACTTGACTTCAGATTCCACAATGTCGAACCAGTCTGGCTTATAGAAAGTCTTGCTCTGCTCCAGTGCTAGGAGGTCTGCGGACACAATGAAAGGAAATGAGAAAAGAGATTTCTATCGGGGACTCTATATACACGTTGGTATAGTTTGAAGGTTTTTCTTCTTTATTCTTCTAGGAACACATTCTAGCTGTAATACATTTTAAATGGGTTTTATTGATTCTTAGAGCAAAAAAGAACAAAAATGAGAACGGGCCCTCTTACCCTTGTCCGGTGGCACAAAGTACTTTGGTCTCTCAAATCCATGTTTCTCCATCCACCTGGCTCCTTGTGCATCCAGCCGGTCATAGAGAGGAGAGGTGCGCAACTGCCTCCCGGTCTGGAAGTCCCAACGGGGAACCTTCAGGTCATACAGCAGAGCTGGAACAGAATAGAACAGTCTCTGCAAGCCCAAACTGCCGGGCCGGGAACACAACATCCACCAGAACCAGGAGCTGCTCCTAGTCACAAAAGCACACTCTCCAGGCTAATGGACCTAATGTGCAAACAGTACCCGGTGTAACAGGCCGGCTCCAAAAGAAAGAATAATGCTGCAAGAACCGCTGTCATCCCTCCGTGGGTACGCAGCTGTGAGCCACACAGCTCCAGGTCTCTGCTCACAACTATCATTTCAAATCCATAGGCAGAAACCGCAAGCAGGAGGTCAGACTTCTCGGCAGAAGGCGGCTGCAGCACGAGCATGCCGGGGCTGCAGTGTGCAAACGTGGCACATGCTTCTTTACATAGTGCCTTTGTCACTGAGACCTCACAACTGGTACAGACATTTCCTAACACCTAACCCATTTCTGAAGTGAAGGGGCCCACAGCCTTGATTTTGTGGCTCTGAAATCGGACAGGTTACATAGTCCTGTCCCAGTGACATCACATAACAAAGCCAGGGTCAGAATTCATTTTTCTTGTGCCTAATCAGCAACAGCAGTTTGTAAAAATAGCCAGAAAGAGTGTGATCTCTAGTCCCTTGCACAGGGAAGACCTGACCTTACAGCATTCCACATAAGAGGGACAACAGGGAGGGGAGGCTGAGAGGTCCAAGAGAAGGAGCCACACTGGCTGCTCTACCCTGTGACGATTTTTCAATCTCCCCTCACTCTGGAGGTCCAATTTACACTTTCCCCAGTTTCTATCATGTGAGAACCAGAGACAGGCATCATGTTCTCAAGGACAAACTTAAGCTCCATTATGATTTGCACAGATTCTAAACGAACTATGCCTGGGGAAGCCAGGACTTATGGCAGGTCAACATTTTAACTAAAATATTTATTAAAATTGAAGAACCTTAGTGGCCACCCACACTGCTGCCAGACCCCGTGACTCCGACAGTTCTCTGCCACAGGCTAGAGGAGCATGCAGGTGCTAACAGTTATCTAAAGCCTCGTCATCAATGGAACCCCGGCTACTAAACCAACAATTCACTGTTAACCAAGAATGGTGGTCGCAACCAGTGTAGAAATTTAGCTGTGAGCAGAAATATGCCCCAAATATTCAGGTACATTTTGGCAGTCTCAGAATTGTTCCTCAGTATAGGACAATGACACGACAGTCTGATTTGGTTCAATTCCTGATACAAAAGCTGGCTCTAAGAGCTTGCTAGAAAATAAATCAGAGACAAGATAACAAGTGAAAATAAAGAGCCTTTCAAAGTTGGAGGGAAGTGAGAACAAGGAGAAGAACAGTAATGTACATTCTGTATTTACCCAAGAAGTGGTTTCCTACCTTGCTAGCATGTTACAGTTAATGGCAAAGATCACTCAGAGAAGCTTGAAGCTTTGAGAATAACCTGGCAAATTCTCTGCCATGGAAAGCACACCATGATCACAGATAAAAGAGGCAGCAAGAGCATTACCTGGCATTCTAGGCAAAGTGGAAAGCAGATGGCAAACACTATGAATCTACAAGAAGCTGCTGCGGGGACTGGACAGCAACCAGCACCTGAAAGTCCTAGTCTGCGTTCCTGTTCCCCGAGGTTAAGTAGAAAACAATATACTAAAGAGACTGTCCCACAAATGTCACATGGGGCCTCGTCCCCCAACCAAACATCAGAAGCCTGACTCACAGCAATTATTACACAACTGAAGGAAAAACCTGCCCCCACTCAGAATGATCACACAGGCTCGAGGGAAGATCCCTTCAGCGAGGTGCAGCTGGGCCAGAGCTCCACTCACGCATGACTTCCATGACCCGGTGGCGCAAAAAGGTGCGGCTGCTCTGGAGTGCTCCAAAACGCTTCAGGTCCAGTTCCCAGATGTTTTCTGAGGGATAACCGTGCACCATCCATTCGGCGAGGTACCTGTTTAGATGTGGGGGAAGTTGCTGGGCCTCAGATGGGACGCTCTCCCAACTGTACACGGAATCAAGAACCAACAGAAACATCCTGTCTGGTCACAGATTGGTTGAAAATTTGGGGCAATTTCCTTAACTTTTCTAAACAAATACGGATCCATCTACTGCTCTCAAAACCACTACGATGATTTTAGCTCTAATAAGATTCCCTAGAAGTGTTCTAAAAATAAGCCACATCTATTAAAAAAAGACTAAAATAAAATTACAAATGTACTCTAATTTATACATCCAATGGTTTTTTTCTGGAAAACCCTCAGGTCGTTATACAACTATCTGACCACATTTCTGTTCCAAACACTTTTAGTAACTCCTCTTCCATAACTGTTTTCAGAACCATTCTACAAGCCACTAAAGAAAAAAATGGCCTCATTAATAAAAAATTTAAAAATTTAATTGCGATAAAATACACAGAACATGACAGAACATAAAACAGAACATAAAATTTACCATCTTCATCATTTTCATGTGTAAGGTTCAGAGGCATGAGGTACTCTGAACGGCTGTGTGACAGTCCCCACCATCCACCGCTAGAATTCATTCATCATCTTCCCAAACTGAAACTCCCTCCCCTGACCCCAACCCTGGCCATCGCCCCTACACTCTGAAGTAACTCACAAAAGTGCAGCCACACAATATTTGTCCTTTCTGACTGGCTTATTTTATTTTTTTTAAATACTTTTATTTATTTATGATAGTCACAGAGAGAGAGAGAGAGAGAGAGAGAGAGAGAGAGGCAGAGACACAGGCAGAGGGAGAAGCAGGCTCCATGCACCGGGAGCCCGACGTGGGATTTGATCCCGGGTCTCCAGGATCGCGCCCTGGGCCAAAGGCAGGCGCCAAACCGCTGCGCCACCCAGGGATCCCTGACTGGCTTATTTTAACTGGTACATAATTTTTTTAAAAAGACCCACCTTAGGCAACCCAGGTGGCTCAACAGTTTAGCGCCGCCTTCAGCCCATGGCCTGATCCTAGGGACCCGGGATAAAGTCCCACGTCGGGCTCCCGGTGCATGGAGCCTGCTTCTCCCTCTGCCTATGTCTCTGCCTCTCTCTCTCTCTCTCTCTCGCTCTCTCTCTCTGTGTCTCTCATGAATAAATAAATAAAATCTTAAAAAAAAAAAAGACCCACCTTACTCAGCATGATCATCTGTCTTACTCACAGTACTTAACGGTTTCCAAACTCAAATGCCTTCAAAGGATCAACATTTTTTAAAAAAGATTTTTATTTATTTATTCATGCGAGACACAGAGAGACAGAGACAGGCACTAAACCGCTGAGCCACCCATTTGTCCCAGGATCAACATTTGTAACCGCTGCAAGAACTGAAAAGTACAGCCCACAGGCTCCAAGAACAATTCCAGAAGAGGAGTTCCCAAAATACTTTGCACGATGACACTTCTGGGACATCCACAGTCATTACTTTGAAATGGACAACTCTCAAATTAGGTGTATATCTTCCTCATTAACATACCAGGTTACACCTGGACATTACACACAACATCAGGAACAAGTAACTCTAGGAAGGAAGCAGCCCCACCAGCAGAGTGTCAGCAGGAACACTTACCTCCCAGCCCCTCCACCAAAGGAGATGCCAGCAGAGTTCATTCCTGCCAGGACAAAGTAGCCCTGCACCAAAGGAGACTCGCCCAGGATGCACCTCATGTCTGGGGTGAAGGTCTCGGGGCAGTTCACCAACTTCATGATCTCCAGAGTGTCCAGTTCAGGCATGCGCCGCAGGAGGGAACTCAGCAGGGGCTCTGAACCCGAAACACAAACCCAAACATGGTCCTCAGCTTTAGGGAATTCAGAAACTTCCCAATCCACGGGCTTCCCTACTCCCTCCCTCTCCTTGCAGAGAAAATTTCCTGAAAGAGGCTTTCTCAGAAGAGCCAAATGGGCCCTGACCAGAAAGCAGAAACCATGGTGGAATTAAGGGGCAACCCCACAAAGTGCATGGCATACAGACTGAGAAAAAAAGACACTCTTCAGAATGACCAGAAGCTGTAGGAGGACACACAATACACGAGCGTTAGGCAAGATCTCCAGGGGAGCAGTACTTGGGGACAATCTCTTCCATAGCACCCAAGGGGACATGCAATCAAAGCAAGGATTTCCTAAACTGGACCAGCTGCAAAAGACAGGTCCTTGGCTTGTGTGCCAGTAAGCCCACCATCTGGGAATTATTCCACTAGGACAGTGGCAACGGATGAAACCAGACTGGAGCTGGCAGGAGAATCCATATACTATTCTCTCCACTTTTAAAAGTCTGAAATCTCGGGATCACTGGGTGGCGCAGCGGTTTGGCGCCTGCCTTTGGCCCAGGGCGCGATCCTGGGGACCCGGGATCGAGTCCCACGTCGGGCTCCCGATGCATGGAGCCTGCTTCTTCCTCTGCCTGTGTCTCTGCGCCTCTCTCTCTCTCTCTCTATCATAAATAAATAAAAATTAAAAAAAAATTTAAATAAAAAAAAATAAAAAAAAAGTCTGAAATCTCCCACAATAAAAAGTTTATTTTTTAAAAAAAGTCCATTAAGGATAGGAGGGAAGACTCTTCATTATAGACCCTTTTATCTTTTGAACCTGGATTATGGGACTATATTAACTAGGAAACAAAAATGAAATTACAAAATCAAGTTGCATATAAATACCAGATCACTATGATGTACACCTGAAACTAAAACAGTATCATAGCCCAATTCTTCTTCAATATAAAAAAAAATAAAACCTGAATAGAAGACCATATTAACAAAAAAGATTCTGCTTTCTAAAAATTTCTTCTTCAATCTTACATGCCATCCTACAAAAAAGTCTCCTTCTAGCCTAGAATTTCAGCAATGGTTTTAGGTAAGTAATTAGCCAGAGGTCCCTTGACCAAGATCTTCGTCCCCTGAATCTGCTACCCAGTTCGCCTTAGACCAGGTGAACTCTGTAGACTGCCCCCTGGGAGCACCTCGTGGGGTGGTGACAAAGATCAAAGAAGGAACTCTTCTTGAAAATGCTTTCAAAAGATAGCATCTTAGACAAACACAGGACATTATAGTCATCCTCTAGTTCACACACCAAAGTGATCCCAGTCTTCCTGCAGATTCTGAATCTCCAGCTGGTTCTTGCCCTCAGTGAAGATTGGCTTCGGGTTCTTCTCAAAGCCCCCAGACAAGATGCCACCCTGCCAGTTCCGGATATAAATTCTTCCATCAGCATCCACAATAGCTGAGGAAGGGAAACAACAAGGGAGTGGGGAACAGAAGAGAAAAACAAGGTTTAGAGGTAGGCCAACTTTCTAAATGGACAGAAAAAGCAGAACAAAAACACCATTACTGGCTTTATTAGCGAAAGAGCATCCAGTAAACACAGATCTTCTGAGATCATCGGGAAGGATCTTCCCTCTCAGATTTACAGTGGAGACTATTTCCCTGGTCGTCCCTAACCTCAGCAGTTAACCTAGAAGCTCTAATTGGTCCTCACAACCAAACTACGGAACTACCACAATGCCATTTAAAGCCTAGCAGAAAGGGGGGACCCTAAGCCCATTCTAGGGGTTGAGACCTTTCAGGTGATGTCAAGCCCTCCCCTGTGGTGCTTGGGGCCATGGAGCCATGTGATTCTGTAGCTTACCTAATAATCTCTCTACAATATATGTCATTCACGTCAAAAACTCCAGGTTGCATTCCAAATATTCTCAATTTGGACCTCTGTTTGGGATTGCAATTAGCTTATAAAACAAACCAACCAAAAAACTGCTTCAGTGGAATGCGTTTTTGTCCATCCTTTCATAAAGAGCTCTTAGAGAAAAGGTAGAACTGGGTCGGCCTCCTTATAACATGCTCCAGAAAAGATAAGGCTCTTTCGAGCACAGTCTGTCCTGGGCAGAAAGTCTTCCTTTTCAGAGGACAGGACAGTGGCAAGGAAACAATATTAAAAACAAAGCAGAAGTCCTCACTTGGTGTGTTGCTCTGCAGAGGGGTCTCCAAGGGGCGAGTCAGAAGGTAGAAGTGTTCGCAGGCATGTAACGGGATACTAACCGGCTCCTCGTTGGACAGACCCAGCTCGTATGCCCACTACAAACGGACAGATTGATTTGTGGGTGAGAAGAGGAAGAGAAAAGACAAATGAGCAAGTTTATCCATTTGCAAAGAGTTTGATTTCAAGTGGCCTGTGTGCACTCTGGCCCCAGTGTCAGGGGCAGGGAGACAAGCTGTAGCCTCCTATACACAGTTATGTGGATGGGGAGCAACTTTATACTTCTTACACCATAACAATTATTCTTGACCAAAGAATGAGAGATTTAATAGCTAGTAAAAGGAGCTCATGGGGGGCAAGTGAGGCCCTTTTAACAAAATGCCTGGCCTCAACTACAAACCCCAGACACCATCCCACTCAGCCTTCATTCACAAGGTAAAAAGTACCCCTAGGTCACCTAAAGACTAGAGTGGAAAGCAAGGGACCAATCTGCCTTAAAAGTAGAAGCAGCTTAGTATTCTAAACTGAATCCATGCTCCCAACACAAAAAAAAACAGCCTCATGGGATGCCTGGGTGGCTCAGCGGTTGAGCGTTTGTTTGCCTTCAGCCTGGCCCAGGATCCTGGGGTCCCGGGATTGAGTCCTTCATTGGGCTCCCTACATGGAGACTGCTTTTCCCTCTGCCTGTGTCTGCTCTCTCTGTCTCTCATGAATAAATAAACAAAAGCTTAAAAAAATTGCCTCATATTTTATTTGCCAGGTTGCAGGATGAAAGGAAATATCATAGAAGACCCAACGCCAAGGATTTCTGTCAATGCCCGACTGTTTCACAGACTTCCTGGCCAGGAGAGCACCGATTAACCCAGGGTGGAGGAAGGAAGAGGTCACCCCAGTGCTCCTCTCTGAGCACTAGCTAGAGGTCTTCTGATTTAGAGTAAAGGATTTTGAGGTTTCTAGTCCAAACAAGGGACATGTGGTCCCTGACGTGTGCTTAGCCCAACACAGTACTGACCCTACGTTTCTACACCTAAAATCCCAGAGGTAACAGTTAAGTGAGAAAGTCAGTGACACAGTACAGCTGGTAACCTACCTGACCAGCACAGTTGACAAAATACTGGCACTCGATCTGTCCTTTATCTGTCTCCACACCAGTAACCTGACCTTTCTTGACCATTACATGAAGAACGCTTGTCCGGTCATAGATCTGAACACCTGTTGCAAGGTAAAGAAAGAGTTAGGTGCATCCAACCTCTGATGGCGCAGAATAAAGGCCTCTGCACCAGATTCTCAACCCCCAAGAAATGCTGAAAATGCCAGATCAGTGCTTTATTTAAAAAAAAAAAACTCCCGGGAACCACATCCTGAGACTACATCAGTGTGCCTCTTCCAAGACTGAGAACAGCAGGTGACTGTAATACACAGCTCAACTCCCAGAGTCACAAAAGGCATAGGAGAAAAAATTCAAATACAGCATTTTAAATCCTAATTCACCCACACCTCGGATCAGTTCATCTGAAGTGCAGAGCACCTTGGACACTGGTTAGTGCTCCCCTCATTCATTCCAAACCCAGGACATAGTCAGCTGTGGATCCAGTCCTCACTGTGGCTTCTTGACCTCGGAGCCTCTCAGATTCTGTGTGTGTGTGTAGGGGGGATTTCTAGGAGCCTGAAGTGCACACTGCTCAGTATAAAAGCAGTTCTTACAACTTTAATAAGAAAAATGTGGCCCTAAGAAAAAACATTAACAGTACATTCAAACAAATATTGTGAGAGCCAGTGTTCAAAACCAGAAGGCAAAAAAAAAAAAAAAAAAAAAAAAAAACACAACAACAAACCAAAAAAACACAGAAGGCAAGCTGGTATCAATGCTGATGGTAAGATACCTTCCTACGTAAACTCTTCCTTCCTCACCCAGACACCTCCTTACCATTTTGGGAGGCAGCACTTGCCAGGGCGAGAGCCACATCAGCAGAGGACACCACTGCATCCTCGGGAACATGCATGGCCCCCACCAGGTCGTGCACGTTGAGGAGAGGGTGAAGTTCGGCGACTTTCTTGGGGGAGATGATCTCAGAAGGGATGCCTATGACACTGCCGCAGAACACAAGGGGACAATGACATGCATGGCCCTCTGGCAGAGGTCAGTCTGACAGGAGCGTCGGGACAGGCTTCTAGCCTCATACGTACTTCAGCCTCGAGTTGATGCGCTTCAGGGAGATCAGCCGGTCCTGAGTTTGGGCCAGAAAGATCGAGCCTGTCCTTATGTAACCTGTAAGGAAAACCAGCCCAGACTAAGCAGATCAGGCCACCTGCAGGGGCCAGGAGGGGGGCAAGCCCACTAGACTACGAGCTAGACCAGTGAGGAGTCCTGGCACTACCACCATCCAGACATCCTCAGCTAAGATTTTGGAAGATCAAGTGGGATTTTCATGTACATCTTAAATAATCACTCTTAAAATAAAAATGAGAAGTACTGTTTTTACAAAGCCTTTTGGAAAAGAATGTAGCTCAGAACCCATCTCTTTCTTCAGTCTTTTTAGGCTTTCTCCTCCTGGTTTTGGTGGGAGAGTGACCCGTGATGTAGGCCACTCACAACATCAGCACCCAGGGGCTGGGACAGGGCCAGTGGGAATGTAGCTGAAGCTCAGCCAATCAGGTCCTCCTGGGATACTGTGTCTGGAGCAAGTGAGAGAATGGCTGTGGAGGCCAGTCCTCTCTGAAGCAGCAGCGTCCTGCCAAGTGGGCCCTGTTTCAGCTGAGGGGCTGCCTGCTGTGGGGTCCCCATGGCCCAGCCTCCGCACTGCCTCCTCCCAAACTGGCAGCCTCCTGCCAAACTGACTGGCTCCAACAGCCTTCCAACCAACTCCTTTTTGCCCAAGTTGGTCAGAGTCAATTCTTGTTCATTGCAATCAACATTCCTGACACAACCATGATCACGCTTGGGTGAGTGACAATCTCCCTAACATGCAGACTCTCAGTTCTGATGATGAAAAAGCTGAATCAATCAGGGTATCTTTTTAAAAGGCAGCACAGGAGGATCACCTAAATATTTTTTTATCTAGTTTGAAATCTTCAGGGAAATATGCCCTTCCCTGACATTACAAGAATGTCTCAGTTGGAGAACTGACATTTTAGAGACTGATTTCTAAAAACTGTAGATAGACCAGACCAGTGCAGTGATCATGGTCACTGACTTGGAAGCTAATCACACTCTGAGTCTCACCTGCAGACAAAGGCTTCAGTAGTCACTCCCAGTCACTACCAAACACTCTTAACACATCACGGTACACACATGATGTCAAATCGCACTCTTCCAAACAGAACCAGCTGCCATAACAGCATATCACTGGTTCACAAGATTAATAGCCTACTCTATTCCCACAGAGAACTCTAAAAGTTTGGTCTAGACCTTTCTGACATAAAATTTGCTTTATCACAGGTTTGAAGCTGTAAAACAGAACTCTTACGTTCAGTAAGAAGATAGACATCTGATATTAAAAGACAAGTCACAGAAGAAATATGAATGGCCAATAAGACTACAATACAGGGACACCAGGTGGTTCAGTGGTTGAGTGCCTGCCTTTGGTTCAGGGTGTAATCCCATGGTACCGGGATTGAGTCCCATACCAGGCTCCCTGCATGGAGCCTGCTTCTCCCTCTGCCTCTGTCTCTACTTTTCTCTCTCTGTGTGTCTTTCATGAATAAGTGGATAAAATCTTTAATTAAAAAAAAAAGACTACAACATAATGTTTAACTGAAAAAGATGCAATTTGGAATCTGATTACTTTTTTCATTTCTCAGATTACCAAAAATTGAAACAATACTGTTGGGGTAGCTGGCTGGCTCAGTCAATAGAGCACAAGACTCTTGATCTTGGGGTTGTGAGTTTGAGCCCCATGTTGGGTGTAGAGATTACTTAACAAAAAATAGAATGAAGAAATAAAACAATACCCAATGTTGAGAAGACGATAAAGAAATAAGCACTCACACACATGATTGGTGAGAGGGGATACCTCTTTTGGAGGATGATCTGGCAATACCTATCAGTTTAAAACACAGACACCTTTCGCTCAAATTATCAACTGACTACATCTACCCTTTGGAAATAGCAAGAGAAAACAAACATATACTGACAAGGGTCTGTGCTGCATCATTATAACAAAAAAAGGGGGGGGGGACCTATAAATATCAGGTTTATATTTGCAGGTAGTGGGACCTGCATAAATAAACCAGCACACATATGGACCCTTTCTCTGTAGTTATAAACAGACTTAATTATGAGCTGATCTGGAAAGCCATCATAACACGCTTTCATTTAACAATTACTAAGAATGTTTCTGTAT